AGAAGGAAGACCGAGAAACAATGTTGATGAAATGATACTTCATGAAATTGAAGCGAATTCTTCAACTAGTGTACGTCGCATATCAAGAGATACTGGAGTACCAAAGTCAACAGTACACCGCACTTTAAGAAGACAGTTATTGCATCCATATCACGTTCAACGTGTACAAGAACTTCTGCCAGAAGACTACCAACGAAGGATGCAGTTCTGTAGAGAAATCTTAACGAAGTGCAGGCAAGATCCAAACTTTTTTAAATCAATTTTATGGACAGACGAATGCGGCTTTAAACGCAACGGAATATTCAACATTCACAATCTACATTTCTGGGAAGAAGATAATTCAAATGTGATAAGGATTGACCGATTTCAACACCACTTTAGTGTTAATTTATGGGCTGGGGTAATCAATGCTCAGTTAATTAGACCTTTTGAACTACTAGCTAGGTTTAAATGGTGTTGAATATCTTAGATTTTTGGAAAATGAATTGCCCGTTTTATTAGAGGACGTATTATTAGCTGTAAGGCAACATGTGGTTACAACAAACCAATAGAATTATTGTATTTAGATGTAAACATGTATATTTATAATTTATTATGTAGGGGAGCAAGGGCGTACCCAGGTAGGGGTGGGGGGGGCAGCTGCCCCCCCCCCCCTAGAAGATAAAATAAACGTCAATTTTCCTGGCAAGTGGGAATTAAAAACGTGTTACCTACTTTGCGCAAAATGAAGTGTTGGAAACAAAATATCTTTTCAGTCAGATATTTTAATTTAATATTTTTTTTATCTATAATTAAATATTCTACAACATTCAATATAGTATACTGTTAGCGACGCAATATAATTNAGAGCGCCAGAAGAAAGGGCCCTAGCCGGCGGGGCCCAGCCAGGACAGGAGGAGGCCCCACGAACCGATCCAATCCGGCCGCGTTGGCGGTCCGGAATGACGGGGAAAGGGCCTACCTCTACGAGGCGTCCGGGCCTACAGCGATGAAGTGGGTAAAGAGCGATAATCCCGCTCGACCCCGCTCCATCCGAGGTCATTTTTCCTGCCAAGGATATTGGCGCGCGGTAGAGCAGTTCAGTTCTGGGGAGTTCTTCTAAGCAGTTCTGGGGAGTTCTTCTAAGGGTTCTGAGTAGTTCTTCTAAGAGATTTGAGTGGTTCTAAAGCAGTTCTAGGAGACCTGAGTAGACCTCGAGAGATCTGAACAGACCTGAGCAGACCTCAGCAGACCTCGAGAGACCAGGAAACCTCTTAGAAATTTCATCGTGGTAGGTGATCCCGATAATAACCTTTACGTAGGGAATACGTAAGGAAGAACTTAAAGAATTCAAAAAACGAGTGCGGCGACGAATCGCGTAGAAAAATTCATAGGCGAAGGACGCGATCGCGAGGGGAAACTTACCTAGACGTTCAACGACCTATAATAGAAGTAGCAGTTACTTGTACTTACCTACAATATACGTGTCAGTCCAACGTTGAGTTTCTTCTGGTCCAGTCCATAGTAGTGACGCCTTCAGCGTGGAGTTAGAGCGTGTTTGAATCTGAAAGAAAGAATACATATTAGTAGTCAGGACCTTCAGTCACATATACTTAAAGGTCATATCCGTAGCGCAAGCTATGAGAGCTTGAGTTACCGATTAGTAGAGTCAGTGTTGAATCTAATAATAAATATCCGTCTTTGTCTAATTCTGAGTGCCTATCCCAGCCAGNACAAATCAAACAGTTCTTAATCTACATTCGAACTAAACTTGAGAATTTTGAAAACCCAAAAATTAGACAAAGACGTGGACTTATTAATATCGTAGGCTCGTTGCATAAATACCTTTTCGGAACCCTGGATAATACCGATTTAGAAACTATCAATTCAAAATTTAACACTCTTCTACAAAACCAAAATAAAATAAAAATACAGTTAGATCTCCAAAGTTCTATATTAATCGATTTAAATAACAAATTAAATAATTCGTTTTCTAAAATTGACCAAAATTTCAAAGTAATCTCACATACAATAGAAAAAATGAAAAACGATGTTGAATGTGTCAAAATTCAAATAAACTTGCATGATGCGTTTACTCAAATAGATGATATACTCTCAAATTTAGAAACAGCAACAAATCTTGCTCAACACAATATCATCCACAACTTCTTTCTACCTTTAAAAAATGTCAAACCTATATTAAACCAACTCTACGCTATGTATGATCGAAAAGAGATAATTGATCTCACTAACCTACATTCTTACTATAACTTATTCTTAATCTCGGTAGATATTCTAGAATACAAAATTATGGTTAAACTGTCAGTACCACTATTCCTCCCTAAACCATATAATACCTACCATTTGATTCCTATCCCGATTAATGGTCAGATCATTATCCCTACTCAACCTTACCTTCATGTAAATCTGGATACGCAACAACATATGTGGACCACCCAACCATGCCCATCCATAGAGGAATACAACTTATGCAAAGGAACTTTCCGACTCCAACAAGATCAGTGTTTCCTGCCCCTGATCCAAAATAAACCACACCAGTGCCCATCGACCAAGGTCGAACTACAAACAACGATGCTGGAACAACTTAGGAACAACTTAATCCTAATAATTCCCCAACAAAAGGAGTTAATCCGTGAACAGTGCCACGTCAAACAAACTTACACCATTGATAAACCATCCCTTGTGACGATAGACTCATGTGATGTGATCATTAAAGACAGCCGTTTCTCCCCTAAAAGTGATTTTATCGAACAAACCCAAATTAACCTTCCGACGATCCACCTCGAACCATCCAATGGACCTTCAATCCATCTCCAAGAAGTGGAAATCCAGGATTTCCAGCAATTACAACGATTAACAAAAAATTTAAGACCAGTACATCTTGATGACTTTGAAAATATGAAAACCAAAAATATTGTTTCTTCTGTTCTGTTTATTGTTTTAATAATTGTAATCTGTATCATATTATTATACTGTCGTTTCTTTCATCACAAAAAAAGAAATTACTGTCAAAGGAATTCCACAGCTCCTTCTACAGCTATAGAAATTCCGCTTAAGGAGAGAGGTGTAATATAAGGACCCTGTATAACGTCTATTTTTATTTTTTAGTATAAAGACATATCTAATATAACATATAATGTAACATCAGCATTCCTGTCGCATCATCTTATTCCAGAAATGCTGATGCATATAATTTATTCCTATTTAAAGCCGCTAGATCATATGTACAGCACAGTATAGTTTTTGCTTCATGTTTGTCAACTTACGTTGGTGCTAATAAAAAGTTATAAACATCCAGACCTATAATTTTATTCATATTACTAACTAGGTATTTTAAAAAATATGTTTCTCTCTACTTACAATGATTATTTTATAATAAATTATAATTTCCCAGCCTCGATCATGTCATCTTGCCAATCAACTTTTCCTTTACCATTAAAATAATCACAGTACTTCTTTTTATTCATCTTGGCTTTTAATGATACATTACTTTTTTATTTTTGACAGAAACCAATTCAACACCTTGCGAACGCCAATAGCCATTCTCAGTTTCATGTGTAACTGGATTTTCTCTATCAAAAGTAGTAGCTGTTGCATAAGATGGACTATTTCTTCTTAAAAAATTACGATGGGGCTGCAGCTATGAGTGGGTATTTGCACGCTGCCCAAGCATATATTCGTCAAGAATGTTCTCTTGCTCTTTATGTACATTGTAGTGCACACTCTCTCAACCTTGTTATTGCTGACTCATGTTCACAAGCAGATGTGCGAAACTACGTTGGGATCGTGCAGTCTGTTGGTTCCTACTTTAGACATTCGGCTCAACGCACTGCGTTCTGAACGAAAAAATTAGGGATCTGTATGCTTTAGGTTTCGAGCTACCACTGCAAGTCAAATAATGGGTTCTCTACCGGCTGACAGACTACAAATAGGTCGACCTTTTCTTAAAGTTGGGGTTGACTTTGGTGGACCAATATTAATAAAAACATCTGGAATTCGTAAAGCACAGGTTACTAAGGCATATATTGCATTATTTATATGTATGGTTACTAGAGCAATACACTTGGAATTAGTATCTTCATTATCTACAGAGGCATTCATTTTAACACTAAAGAGATTCATTTCCCGTAGAGGTTGTCCAGATAATACAGAGTAGGGGAGAGTAACCCAAGTTGGGACAGTATTCCAAGAAGGGACACGTTGATAAATTGGAAATTTAGCCTTGTAGCTCCATCTAAATACTGATTAGGCAACTTCGCAAAAGCATGCATGTTGCCTATGAAATTCAGTCCAATCCAATAATCGCCGCGTACAGTACAGGTGTTTTGGTGATTTGTGCAGTATTATTAAAATATTTCCCGAAAAACAAAAGCTGGAATAATATCGATAATGTAAGTTATGTTCCTCTTTCTCTCGCAGCCTTTTAGGATAGACGTTAGCGAATAGTTTCGCATAAATTTGTTCGAACATATCATGTGATGAACTTTGTAGGTTATGTCACGTTTATAAACGGCCACATTTCTTAAGATGGGACATAGTAGCGATTCCGAAGTTGGGAGGTCCCACCTTGAGAAACTGTTTTTTACAATACAGTGAGAAATGTTTTCTTTTTGTCTCTGAATTACAGATGCCTAAAGTAGATTGTTATTACAAAAGAAAAACCGATCGTGGAAAATGGTTGACTCAAGACATGCTTGAGGCTGTTCGGAAAGTTAGAGATCATGAGTTATCTATTCGACAGGCTGCAGACAGATACAATGTGCCGAAAAGTACATTGGAGAGAAGAATCACAAATAAAAACAAAATTGTGAAAGAAGATGAAAAATATCTTGGACGATTTCGACAGGTCTTCTCGGAGGAACAAGAGCTAGAAATTATGGAGTACATTCTCGAGATGGAAAAGCGGTTTTTTTGGCATCACTTATACAGAACTTCGCAAGTTAGCATTTGATTTTGCCAGTGTCAATAATATTGCCAATAATTTCAATAAAGAGACTAAAATGGCTTCAAAGAAGTGGATTTACGGATTTTTACGTAGGCATACAAATATTTCCTTGAGGAAACCTGAAGCCACATCCTATGCTAGAGCTACAGGTTTCAATAAACAAGCAGTTCGAAGTATTTTCAAGAATCTTGAAAATATTTATGTGAAATATAAACTTACTCCAAATCGCATTTGGAATGTGGACGAAACTGGTGTGACGACCGTCCAGAAGTTATCAAAAGTTCTCGCGCAGAAGGGCAAGAAGCAGGTTGGTGGGCTAACGAGTGCAGAAAGGGGACTAAATGTTACTATTGTGGCTTCTATGAGCGCAAGCGGAAATTTTTTGGCACCAGCTTTCATTTTTCCCAGAAAGAGAATAAAACCCGAACTCATGGACAATACACCTAATGGAAGTCCAGCTTTCCCACAAGATAAAGGTTGGATGGATCGGGACGTATTTCTAGAGTTTATAAAATATTTTGTTGATCAAACCAGACCGTCCACACAACAGCCAGTTCTTATTATCTTGGACGGCCACTGTTCTCATACAAAAAGCTTGGCCGTCATAAACTTTTGTCGTCAAAATGGTGTCATTTTATTGTGTTTACCGCCTCATTGTACACACAAAATGCAACCATTGGACGTTGCATATTTTAAATCATTTATGACTTATTACAACATGCACATAAATAGATGGTTGAAAAATCATTGCGGTCGTACCTTCGGCATCTACCAAATAGCTGGAGCTGTTAAAGAAGCCTTTGAGAAGGCTTCAAGTGTAGAGACTGCCACAAATGGATATCGAAAAACTGGTATTTGGCCATTTAATGACAGTGTATTCCAGGATTTCGAATTTGCTGCATCACAAACAACTGAATTACGAGATTCTGAAAATATGAATCCAACGGAAGCGAAGGAAATTCATCGAGCAATAAAATGCCATACTCCTCTAGATGTGAATTTGTTCGAAGATCCCACCCCTTCTACGTCAAGAGAGCAAAGAACGCCTACACAAAAAAAAACATCAAAATAGTGATTCCGAAGACGATAAGCCGCTATCAACTTTTATAACTAAACATAAAAGTGACAAAAGCATGGCTGATGAGAGTTTTCCTTCTAAGATAAAACTTATTGACATCAGTCCATTGCCAATAGCAAAGGAAAAAAATAAAAAATCATCTGGCAAAAGATCCTTAAAATCAACTATTTTAACAGAATTACCCTACAAAAACGAATTGCCTTGCCTTGGAGACCCCAAAATCACAAAAAGTAAAAAAATCTATTTTTAACGAAGCCAAAAATAAAAATGATAAAAAGTGTAGTGTGAGGCCCAATAAATCCAACACCAGTGCAGACGTTGACGACACCAGTTGCATCGTATGCGGCGAAAAGTACTTGGAGAGCGTAGAAGATTGGTACAACTGCCACCAGTGCTTAGGATGGGCTCATGAATCATGTGGAGTTTTAGATGAAAAGTATTTCACATGTAGCATTTGCGCATTGTAGCAGTATGATGTCCCTTCTTAGGTAATCAGGCAACCCAACTTAAGAACCCAGCGTCCTAAGATGGGACATTTGCAATTTTTTTTGTAGTTATAGAAATAAAGACATTTTGTTTACATTGACGCAATTTATTGCCAAAGACTGTTTCTTAGTTGAATAAATATTCATTTGGTGCCATAGAAGTTGTTTTATTCCTGTTCACTTTTGAAATATTCATCTTAGAAAAAAATCGTCCCGTCTTAGGTTACTCTCCCCTACAGAGTGTACAAAATTCTCAATCTCAGGTGGCTAGGGATATTGCTTTATCAGTAATGAATGTTCCTAAATTTGAAGGCGACTATGGTGGATGGCGTTAGTATGTATACAGCATCGGTACATAATGATACAAAATTAACGAAGGTTCAGAAATTTATTTATTTACAGTCATTTTTAGTTGATGAACCACTCTCTTTAATATGTGATTTGGACATTAGTGATGAAAACTATGATAAAGCATTTAATATTTTAAAATCAAATTATGACAAAAAGATGCCAATTATTAATTATCATAACAATGGACATTTACAGGCAACAGTGGTTCCCTACATATTTTGGTTCTTCAGCCGGATGAAATTGTTGAGTTTTTCACGGATGAGAAATTGGTGATCAGCTCGAGCTAGGAAATCGCAGATTGTAGGATTTGCAGTTGAAATTAGGAAAGGTTTGCACAAAGCGAAGTTGAAGTACAACGTTTTACAAGGAAGGAACAGAAGGTGCTGAACGTTGGACGTATCTCTCTCACTCTCACATACGACACCCACTCAGTCAACACAAGGACGACTACGGGCTAGGTACTCACATTAAGGAAGGTTTAAGGTCAGATTGTTTTTTACTAAACATACTGATAGATTATCGCTCATCTCTCTCCCATAAGGAAGGCTTTTAAAGAACCCTTTGAAGCAAATAGACTATCTATCATTGAAGGTTTAAATTTAGTAATTAATCAAGGTTTTTTTTATTTTCTGTGTTTAGGTTATTTACTATTTTATTATAAAACATGAATTAGGATTGTATATCAATTCACTCACTTATAGTATACTAATTGTTTAAAAAAGGGATATTTTCGTTGAAGGAAAATAGAATCAGAAATTAATGTTTTAATAAAAAAAAGAGGAAGGTATAAGGGGNAAATTCATCGAGCAATAAAATGCCATACTCCTCTAGATGTGAATTTGTTCGAAGATCCCACCCCGTCTACGTCAAGAGAGCAAAGAACGCCTACGCAGAAAAACATCAAAATAGTGATTCCGAAGACGATAAGCCGCTATCAACTTTTATAACTAAACATAAAAGTGAAAAAAGCATGGCTGATGAGAGTTTTCCTTCTAAGATAAAACTTATTGACATCAGTCCATTGCCAATAGCAAAGGAAAAAAATAAAAAATCATCTGGCAAAGGATCCTTAAAATCAACTATTTTAACAGAATTACCCTACAAAAACGAATTGCCTTGCCTTGGAGACCCCAAAATCACAAAAAGTAAAAAAATCTATTTTTAACGAAGCCAAAAATAAAAATGATAAAAAGTGTAGTGTGAGGCCCAATAAATCCAACACCAGTGCAGACGTTGACGACACCAGTTGCATCATATGCGGCGAAAAGTACTTGGAGAGCGTAGAAGATTGGTACAACTGCCACCAGTGCTTAGGATGGGCTCATGAATCATGTGGAGTTTTAGATGAAAAGTATTTCACATGTAGCATTTGAGCATTGTAGCAGTATGATGTCCCTTCTTAGGTAACCAGGCGACCCAACTTAGGAACCCAGCGTCCTAAGATGGGACATTTGCAATTTTTTTTTTGTAGTTATAGAAATAAAGACATTTTGTTTACATTGGCGCAATTTATTGCCAAAGACTGTTTCTTAGTTGAATAAATATTGAATAATAGTAATAGGTACCATACCATACTTATGTATGAAAATGTATGTTGTGTTTGAACATTTATTAATAATTATTAAGTTAATAATATATTTGTTACAAATATATTTCTGGAGGCAAGAAAATGTATATTATAATTTATACCCAATTACAATTTTGAATATAAATTGTTTTCTTTAAAACCTACTTTACTAATTTTAGAACCAAGCTAAATTTTAGTAGTAGACAGTAGGGGACTGTCCGATAACATTAAAATATTCTTAAAGCGGCCCAGACTTCTATACCCGGTGCATCAGAGAGGGCGCATTGTCTGTCTCCCTTTATCCTCGCCTATTATTTATATGTATACACATATAGTGAGAGTGTCTTAGCCGTTTGTTAGGTAAGGTAGGTTCAAGCTATAAAAATTGAAGTTACTGACCAAAAATTTTTGGTATATGGAGTCAGATGGAATGTGATTCTATGCATGTCAGAATATAATATAGGTCAAAAAACGTCCTTGTGTACTTGCCCCATGAATGGGTAACAATAGCCAAAGACGCGAAAACGAATGAGCCGAAGCGAAGTACAAAGTTTTTCAAAAACAAGACATAAATTTTATTGACTGGAAACCCCTGGCTAAACTTATTATGGTTAACCGCAATAAAGACGAAGATGGAAATACAGTTAAATGGCACAATATTAAATGGATTAGATATGAAAAAGCTAATCCCTTTGTGATTAAAATTAAAACAAATGTTGATGAAGAATTCCGTAAAATATTGATAATTCCCCATAGAGGTGGCCGGGTTACTTTAGCTACAATGGAAAGATGTCTTAAGCCTGTGTACGTAGAAAAATATCTGCTGCAGATATTGCAGAATTCGAAAGAAATTTCAAATGCAAAAAATTTCCCAAACGACTGTGTTGACTGGAGACGAAAGCATTGTGGAAGAAACAGCTCTACCAGACATACAGGATGAGGAAGATCAAGATTTTTTTCAAAACTGACTACTACTTTATAATAACTGTAGGTAACTACTATTAACTTTTTAGTTTAAAAATAAAGTTCAGTAAACATAGCTATCTGTGTATTATTGCTTATAAAAAAAATACTGAGGTCAATATCTCAGTTGCCTATTAGAAATGAATAGAAAGACCCTACATAATAAGGTTATAAAACCGAAAACAATAAACCTTAAAAATCTGATTTGACTGGACTCTTTAAAGTGTCCTGAAAAAACGTGATTTTATAGTTAGCTACCTTTGGAATGCAACCATCGAATTGTCAACAGAGCTGGGCAGTACTCGAGTACAAATAGTCGAATACTGTACTCTAAGTACATTTCTGGTACTCTGTATCTGGTACCCGGTATATTTTCAAAAAGATACTCAGTACTCGTACCCGCACATATTACGCAAGTCTGAACTTGATTGGCGCTGCTGAGAAACTAACTTGATAATTGCAAAGAATCGAGGGATACAGGAGATTCAAGTGATGATTTTTTTTTTTTTTGATTTCAATGAACCAGAACATCCAAACAAATCGCACAGACACAGTCTCAATCTGCTACCGAAAACGAAGCAATGAAAATTTCCAAAATGAACCACAGATGAAATCAAGGGTTTTATTGCAATTTTAATTGTGAGTGGATACAACACTTTACCTTCAAAGAAAATGTATTGGGGTATGAACAATGATGTAAAAAACTCTCTTGTGAGCAACGCGATGCGACGAAATCGTTTTTTACAAATACAGAGATTTCTCTACTACCAAGATAACACAAAAATGGATGTATCTGATAAGGCCTGCATGATAAGGCCCTTTATGGACCGAATAACGGCTAAATGTTTACAAAACTTTGTACCTGTGAAAGAACTTGATTACGATGAATCCATGATAAAGTATTTTGGTCGCCACGGATGTAAGTCGTGGCAAACCGATTAGATTTGGCTACAAAATGTGGGCACTAAACACTGAAGAAGGGTATTTGGTCAATTTTGATATATCAAGGTACCAATCCCCGTGGAAACAAAAATTACGATACTTTATTTGATAAAGCTGCAGCACCTTCGGTGCTAATGCTAGATGAATTACATGTAAAATATGTAGGTTATAATATACACGATGACAACCTTTTTACAGGATGCAATTTATTTGCCTACTTACGACATTTAGGTTATGATGCTGTTGGTACTGTTAGGGATAATCCTTTACCAACAACGCCTTGTCCACTGGAAGATAAATAAAGGTTTGCCAAAACAGAAAGAGGTGTAAATCAATATGTACTAGATAAAAGTGATGGAATACTGTTTGCAAGGTGGATGAATAATTCAGTTGTGACCATGGCTTCGACTGGCCCTGGAGTGTCTTCTTCTGGAACTGTAAATAGATACTCACAAAAAGAGAAGCAAAATATTGTAGTCAATCGACCAAACTGTATTGCTCAGTATAATAGCAACTAGGGACCTAGTGGACGAATGTGTATCAAATTATAGGATAAGAATTCGTAGCAAGAAATGGTACTGGTCTATTATCACCTGGCTCTTGGACATATCAATAAATAATGCATGGCTTTTATATAGACATAACAACAAAGGACTTTCAAATATACAACTTAGATATCTCAAGTG